GAAGCTCTCGACACACAGTTCTTATAGTAGTGTTGCTTACAAAGGCAGTTTAGAACTAGTAGTAAGTGATGCAACAGAGCACGTGTATTTTAAGCTCTACGCTGCTGAGCGCTCAGCGGCCCCGCTCTGTGAGTTTGCATGGTCTACCGCTTTGTGGCTGAGCTGTTGTTGCTCCTAGATGCTTCCTTTTCAAAATAATAGCACTTACAGTTGACCAGGGCAGATCTAGCAGGGCAGAAATTCTACTAACTGACTTGTGGCAAAAGTATGGTGATGTCCTATGATGATGCCACGTTTAATGTTACTAAGGCCCATTCTACTGCCAATGTTTGTCTATGGAAATTGTATATACTTTTGGCCATATAATATATTTTTTTTCAAATAAAACCATTTTAGATGCTTGAGTAAACCTATATTTGTGTGTTAAGGGTGGCTTATTATTCTGAGAGGTCTCTTCACTTTTTAATAAGAATCATTTTCAATAACCAAAGCAAATCAGAAATACATCCATGACTCAGCTAAACGGGATAACATTAGTGTGGTCTGCGCTTATTCATGGCATCCATGTATAACAGTTATGACAAAACCTATACACAAAGATCTTCAACCAGTACACAAGATAAACCAGTATACCGCTAACTACTACTGTAATTTTTTGTGCCGTAAATAGCGTAATGCACTCATGTTTGAATACTGCTGTTGCCAAAATGCCATAGTGTATTACACATTGTGCTAGCCAGTCTACTATCAATGTAGCACTTTATTTGCATATATAAGTTATTTATATTGTGACTTTGGATGATAAAAATTGGCCAAAAAAGTCAGTCATCAGGCAGTTTGGTAGCCATAAAAATTCCTGACTGGTGCACTCCTTCTTACAGCATGAATTTGACAAATCTGGCCATGCTACACTTAGCAGGCAGGAATATAAAACATGAACTTATAGGAGAGAGTACAATTAAACCTTAATTAAAACATTAATTCATTCTGTCAGTGTCCCTCTGAGTGTACTGACCTCAGTGATTACTCACTGAATGGTCAGAGGTTTGCACGGATGCATCATAAGCATCTCCACACAGCATGCAATGGCTAAATAACCAAGAACACTGATCAGTACTGATCTGCACAACTGTTTATATTTATATGTTTTCTACCGATTTACTGTTTTATATTACATATTGTTTACGACTGATGCAACATTTGTACCATTAAAATATTGTTTGTACTATGGATCATTCTACACATACTGGGCTTTTAACTGACTATGGGCTTTAGACTAAAATGACCCTATGACCCTATACCTTAATTCTGTTTGTTTTATTAAAATAAATTTCTGAAAATTCCATTTTGTCACTACCAAAGCAAGCATAACACTACCAAAACTTTACCAAATATTTCAGTATTGACTGTTTCAGTAGTGACAATTTTAGCTAATTATGAACAGAACTCAAAAATGCTATCTAGTATATGACTAGCAAACACAGCTTTAAACACATGTGCACACATACAGTCATAATATATTCAATAAAAAACAAAACGTCTACTTAATTGCAGAAATAATGTGTTTCAGTAGTGACAGTTCTTAATGTTCCACACTGATTTTCAGACTTTAGGACACATTTACTTCAAACAATGGAATCAAACTGCTCACCATGTGGCCATCACGGACAGGGAAGCAGTCTCACTTCCTGCTTTAAAATGTAGGGGTGTGGTTAAAATATGGCTCCACCTATGGACTAAAACTCTTTGTGTTTCGGTACTGACATGAAAACGTGGGACAACAAGTTTCTTTATTTAAAAATTATTCTCATGACAAATGTAAATCATTGAACTTTACTTAAAATAAATTGTATACATTTATTTTGTAGCTGTGGCCAGCTTTACATGTGGGTGGAATGTATGAGGCTGAGATTAGTTGGGGCTACAAGGCTAATATAGCTAACAAGTAATGGAATCTCATACCTCACTAATTAGCACTGTGCAAAATGCATGCCTAAATCTGGGATTGACATTGTGTGACATGCTGTTATTTATAAAGAACAGAAAAAAATATGTTGCATAATTAAAAGCAGCAGTAACAGCCATCTCAAAGTCTGAATTTTTGTCCCTTTACATTGATAACAGTAAGTCATACAGTGCCAGAAACCACATAGTCAAGTCCGTTTGAGATCACTGAACAACTCAATGTAGTTTGAAGCAAGTGTGTGATGATTCAGGCATGCAGTCTGCAAGATTTGTCTAAGTTTCCATTACTATATTACCCTAATATGTCCAGTGCTAAAACTACAGAAGCAAACATGGCCAAACTGTTCCTTTAACAAGGCACTCCTCGAAGACTCAACAAGCTCTCAGATGCTCTGTATACTTCCTTACTATCTTATAACCTAAACTGCTCATTAATTGGCCTTTTACTGTAAATCTCAATTAAACAATAAACAACAAGCCACCTCTGTTCAGCATCTGTCCTGTTAGTAGCCTCCTCCTGACCTGGACCCTCCCTGCACTGCTGAAAAGCTGTAGCTCCCTGGAGAAGGCCAGAGCACAGTTCATTTTCCTACTGATCACATACGCAGTGCTCGTATCCTGGTAGCTGTTATTGCCGTTGCTGTTTTTTCTCTTTGCGGTATCCAAACACCAGCTGCACCCAGTTCTGATCAGAGCTTCAATAGAAACTCACTGTTCAGCATTGCTTATGGCTGCAGGTCATGACCAACAACTGATTTTGTCCATTCTAAATGATATTGTGACTGCAGATGTAGTATGATTGTTACCAAAAACATACAACTGAAGTTAGTGATGCTTGAAAAAGTTTACTCATTTTTCACTAGAACACTTAGCTGATCTTAATAGCATCAACTATAGAGTTGATGTTCTAAGTAAAAAAGTTAACACATCCTCTACATTGAACACACTACTGTTGCTACTAGTTTAATGCACAATTACTCTTTATTTGCTGAATTTAACATATCAGGAAAAAATAATGCATAAAATGTGGCCTGTGTGAAAGTTGTGGAACATTTTATGTTTTCTGTCTTATGTTAAACAGAATGTCATAACAGAAACGATATATTCAGGTGAGTGAGATGAACTGAAAGCTTTACAGTAAAACTTTTCAACTTCAAACTCTAAACTCTAAGCTTACATTCAGTCCTCTTTCATGACTTTTATTTCTACATGCAGTTTGTGACTGCAAACATACATGTAATTGTGAGCATTTTTTCCTTTTCCGAGCTGGGTGTGAGTTTTTACCTTTTCATGGGAGAAAAAGTTATCTGCCTGCTCCTCCTTCTGCCGTGCTGTGGCTGCATTCGTTCACTGTTTACAAGCTCCGCTCAGAGGAGGGACTGTATCACATGAACAGAGCCTGACAGCGGAGTAGTAGCTTGTGAAAGCAGAGCTGATATGCACCTTGTAGTTTGATTACACTGCAGTGATGGTATTTAAACGTGTCCATGATAACATTACCATGTAGGCTTAACATTGCAGTATACCAAATTAACAAATACCAGCACATGACTGAGCATTTCGCAGCATTTGTAGCATTACATCTTTAAACAATGGTTAGTAGTTTTCTTTTAAGCATTTAGTAGCTTTCAAGCCAGCTGTATACATAACATACTTACTTACAAGAGATTTGTTTTGGTGGTAAAGTAGCCTTGTTTTAAAAAAAAACAGACTGTTCTTACTTGTCATGCCAGGATTACAGTCTAATAGCTTTCACACTACACATAAAAATGTGTAGACTAACTGGTTGTTTTGGATAGTCAAAAAACATCATGATCCCTGGTTTTTATCACCACCACTGTAAATAAATTTCAGCCAGTCAATTTCTCTCCAATGAACCATTTCACATTAAACCACTCTGAGTGACTTTGTTTACATAAAATTTTGAAAAGAAAATTGTGGAATACCCCTTTAAGTGCATCACTACAGGGTTGTCTCATCAATTTGCTACATGGACTGTCCTTCTCTGAATGTCATCTCGGCTACATGACCGTTGCTTCTCTCTCACACACGCTCTACACACACTCATACAGTGCTAGCTGCTACGCTACTGCTGCCAAATTATAGGGATGGTTTCCTGGCACAGATTAACCCCTCAAACCCCAATTCAGACTTCAGTTCCTTACTCACAACTAGCTTAGATATCAGTTTCATAGTCATGACATAATCATTTATAGCAGTTACTGAACAATAGGTCTTAAGATTAGTAACTGAATAAATTAATGATTAATTAATGGGAGATTCCACAGATTTTTCTAAATTTCTGTATAATTAAATTGTTAAGATGCAAACAAAGTCATTCAGAGTGGTTTGGTGTGAAATGCTTTGTTCTAGACAAACTTACCGAGTCAGAATTGTTCACAGTGGTGGTGATAGGAACCAGACGTCTGAAGAGTGTAATTCTTCTGACTAGTTTACCACTATTAACACTATTAACATCATTACATATACAACTCAGTAGGTTCAGTGGTTGTTTTTGATGGGAAATAAAATTGATATATTTGTATTGTAGACATTGTGAGACCTGGTTCCTATCACCACCACTGTAGAGGAATCTTGAGTCAGTAAGTTTCTCTAGAATGGAACATTTAATTCAATTTTAAAATTCGGTGGATTTTCCTTTCAGTCTGGCTCTACGCTGTTCTGTTTAGCCGGAGAACTGGCCCAAAGTGATTTAGACCTGTGAATATGTTGTTTATAAAGATATACACTTTCAATTATGCCTGAAACCTCAGGAAAAATAGCCTAAATCACTCAGGCTGATGGCCTGGGCTGTTTATGTTTCCCCTTAACGCACTACTGCAGTAGCTACGGACTGTCCTGCACTTGCTGTCCTTTAGCGTGTTGACCACCCTGGCTATATCCGGCCACACACACACACACACACACACGCACAGGCTCGCCATGTGTCAGCCTAACCCAGGCATGCATTAGCATCGTGTGTGCGTGTGGGTGTGTGCGCGCCCCTGTGTTTGTGTGTGAAGGCCACCACTCACCCAGGACACCATGCGGAGGACGGTGTGCGGCTGCTGGAAGAAAGTGATGGGGTCGAAGGCTCCACCAGCCTTCCCCGCTCCATACGCCATTCCCTCCATCTTCTTCCTCTGATGCTCTCTCTCTCTCTCTCTCTCTCTCTCTCCCTCTCTCTCTCTCTCCCTCTCTCTCTCTCTCTCTGTCTGAGATGCTCGTGCTAAAATGGCCTCGCGCCGTTAACGCCTCCTCCTCCTCCTCTCCTCTCTTCTTCCTCCGTCCTTCTTCTCCTCTCCTCTCCTGTCCGGCTCCTCTGACCCTCAGCCTGCTGCCGCTGCTAATGCTCCTGCTGCGTCTCCCGGGCTCGTGCGCTGTGTGCTGAGTGCTGAGCGCTTCAGTTCGCCGCGAGCCCGTCCCCGTCGGCTCGCGCTATACCAGAGAAGACTGTGTGCGTGCGTGCGCGAGCGTGTGCGTAGTGAAGGAGTTTCTGGTGCGCTGTGCTTCGCGCGCTGGCTTTGCTGGACTGGAGGCCGCTTTTATTCCCATTTTAGGCAAAATAAACACATTTTAATCGCTGAACTTCCCCGAACACTAAGACTGACAGAAATGTTAGTATTCTCAAACACTGTACGGCATACAGCAAACACTATTTGCTGTATGTAAATAGTGTTTCACAGAATATTTCACATTTTAGACTTTTTAATAATGTAAAAAAAAAATAATCTCTCGAGAGGCATGTTTGAGAAAAGGAAAAGAAAACTATATAAATAAATTGAAACAAAAAAAAAATCACATGTATTATTGGTCCATAAAAAGGGAGAGAGAAAAAACGAGAAAAGAATAATAATAATAATAATAATAATAATAATAATAATAATAATAATAATAAGATGCACCTATAATAAATAGAAAATGTGCGAATTATACACAAAATATAACGTTTCAGTTGTATATAATGAGACATATTTTAGATTTTTTTTATTAAAGATTGGTCTTGTGTAATAGACACGAACTTCCTAACTCTCTATTAAAGTATAATGTCTTCTTTATATTATTAAATATTTCCTAAACTAAACAAATATTTTGACACAGTTTGCATCACAGCTTCTGCTCATTTGTGCCCTCTAGTGTTAAAGATAAGTACTGCTGCACAGAGCCCGTGCTGACGTCAACCTGTGTGCGTCACCAATTCAGCCAATCGTTTTCCTGAAGCTCTTTCGTTGCCCCTGCTTGGGCCAATGAAAACGCTCCGTTTCAGTTACTAAGCAACGCATCGTGTGCGACTCGACTGGGCGGAAGGAAGAGAGACGTTAATCTGAAAGACGGGCAACGCATCAAAACAAGTTTGAATTATTCACTCCGCTTTAATCGGGGTCATATTTATCTCAGCCAGGTTTGCCCAATGGTGAAATTACGAGCCAGGTGTATTATTGTCGGTAAGATGCATGTCCACCGTGTGTTTTGCTAAATTAACGTTAGTCTGGTCTGGGAGCAGAAACGTGCTTTAACGTACACAAACGACCTAAAACAAGTTAACCTAACTAACATTACTCTCACAACCTGCTGGTCGTCAAGAGCCAAAAGAATGAAACAAAGCTGAATCCAGAGGCTAAGCAGCATTTTTAACTTTAAGCGTTTTCTTTCTTTATAAAGAACACGCTTAACGTTACTACTGCAATAAAACTGCGATCTTGGATCTCGAGATTTTCCTCACACCTCACTGGTTTTAAACACAGTGCCGTGTATTATACTACGTTATCAGACAGTAATGCAGAAAGCCTTTTTTCGTGTTTTAGTACATTAAGCCCCGCTAAGCTGGCGTGCTTTAATGGAGAGGGAAAAAGCTTAAAGGAGAACTCCACCGATTTTTCCAAAAAAAAAAACCCAAAAAATTCGACATAATGAAATGGTAAACAAGGTCATTCATCTTTCCGTGAGGGAGCTTTTAGAGGCATTAAACTCTTCAGACGTCTGGTTCCTATTACCACCACTGTGAACAATTCTGACTCAGTAAGTTTCTCTAGAACACAGCATTTCACACCAAACTACCCTGAACGACTTTGTTTACATCACAACCATTTCATTATGTTGAAATTTTACCATTTTATGATGTTTGAAATTCATTATGTGTATAACATGTTCATGTTATTTATTAAGCTTGCCCCATTCATCAACGGACCCCCACAGGACCACCACAAAGCGGGGTTTATTTGGGTGGCGCGTCATTCTCAGCACTGCAGTGACATTGATGTGGCATTGAGTAATAGTCAGCGCTGGTACGAGAAGATCAGATACAGCAGTGTTGCTGGTGTTTTTAAACTCTGTGTCCACTCACTGTCCATTCCATTAAAAAGGCCCATCTTGTTGGTCCACCTTGTAGATGTAAAGTCAGAGACGATAGCTCATCTGTTGTGCACAGTTTGTGTTGGCCATCTTCTAGTCCTCTAGTCAGAGGTCAGTTTCTGGCTACGAAACATTTTTGGCTAGATATTTTTGGTTGGTGGACTATTCTCATGGTGGTGTGTTAGTGTGTGTTGTGCTGGTCTGAGTGGATCAGACACAGCAGTGCTGCTGGAGTTTTTAAACACCTCAGTGTCACTGCTGGACTGAGAATAGTCCACCAACCAAAAATATCCAACCAACAGCCTCCTGTGGCCGCTGATGAAGGACTAGAGGATGACCAACACAAACTGTGCAGCAACAGATGAGCCGCTGTTTCTGATTTTACATCCACAAGGTGAGAGTGTCTAATAGAGTGGACAGTGAGTGGACACAGTGTTGAAAAACTCCAGCAGCACTGCTGTGTCTGATCCACTCAGACCAGCACAACACACACTAACACACCACCACCACAACAGTGTCACTGCAGTGCTGAGAATGATCCACCACCCAAATAATACATTCTCATTTGTGTTCCCGTGGGGGTCCTGACCATTGAAGAACAGGGCAAAAGGGGGCTAACAAAGTATGCAGAGAAACAGATGGACTATGGTCTGTAATTGTAGAACCACAAAGTGCGTCTATGTGGTAAGTGGAGCTGATAAAATGGACTTTGATTTTTGGTTTCTGAGGTTCTGGTTCAGTTGAGTTGAGGTGTTCCAATGCAACATTAACCTACAATGTAAAGACAATCTTGCATATGTATGTTTGCAGGAGATGCGTCAGTGGGGAAAAGTGCCCTCTTGCAGATGTTCCGCAGTGACGGCGGTCACTTTCAGAAGAACTACAGCATGGTGAGAAATAATGTGTGTCACTGACTTTCAGATAACTCCATTCAGACAGAGACTTTAACTCTATTATTAGTTACTTGCGATTCAGCAGGCTCACAAAGACTCGTTTAATAATTAAGTTTGGGTTTGTCCAGCAGAATGACTCTCAGAGGCACACTGTTGATTACAATAAAGCTAATCTCAGTTAACACCACCTGGCACCTGACAACTGAGGGAATATTGGGGAAGCGCTCCCTGCCAAATTCAGCAGCACTTGTTAAAGTCCCATTGGCGGAATGGGCAAAGCCTCCCCCATTGTGAAATGAAATCCCTCCAAATCAATGCCTTATTGATCAGCCTGCATCACCAGTAAGGAGATCTGATGTTAAAAGTAGGTGATGAGCAATGCTACTGCATACAGATGATGTACAGGAATATGCATGAATTGTGTATCAGCATAAAGAAAGACATTTAAGGCCATTATTCCTGCAACATCCAGTTAGCTGTAGAACCAGTTTGTACATTTTATAAATGTTTATGCATCAACATCGGCAGAAAATATCAGATACTGGCCACAGTGTCTATATCACTGCATCAAACTGCATGCTTAAATCATCACACGCTATGTGATCAGCTATGTGCAGTTGTTAAGTGACCTCAAAAAGACTTGGTTATGTAGTTTCAGTCACTGTATGATATGTTATTGTCTATAAAAATACAAAAACATGGACAAAATTCAGGTTTCTGAATGGCTCATACTACTGTTTTTGCCATAGATTACAATACGTGGTACAGAAACCAGGTTAGTCTATTTGACATAACTTAACCACTTAATGTGGTTTGAGGCAAGTATGAGATACATAATGCTAATTGGTTTAAGCCTCTATTATGTGTTAGTAAGGCCAGGGCAATATCTAAAAAGAATTGATATTTTCCTGTTAAAAAATCATGATTATTGCTTATATTGCCCCTCCTTGCCAATCCACTGCACCATAGACTTTCTATATCCTTGGTTTATACGATGCCCTCCACAAATATTGGCACTCCTGGTAAAAATGAGCAAAAATCAGGCTGTAAAAACATTTTTCCTTTTGATTTTTAACAAAAATCTAACCTTTATTTGAAGTATAATGATTGAAAGAAAAAAAACCTAAATCTTATGAATTCAATATTTTTCTCAAATCTATGTGTTCCACAATTGTAGGCACCCCTTTTTCTAAAATGCTTAATAAGACTAAAGAACACATGGCAAGATCTCTGAGACCATTCCTCCATACAGAACCGTTTGTGGGCTGCCCACTCAAGGGTCTTCTATGGGGTTTAGGTCAGGGAACTGGGGTGGGCATGGCAAAACCTTGATTCTGTTGTCAGTGAAGCATTTTTGTGTTGATTTTGAGATGCACTGTGGATCACTGTCCTGCTAGAAGATCCAAACTATGGCCCAGTTTAAGCTTCCTGACTGAAGGAGACTATAATAGAATGTTTTCTGAACAAGTTGTGAACAGCCCCACAACTTCACAGATCCACCACCATGCTTCACAGTGTGGAGGAGGTACCTTTCTCCATGACTATCTGTGTCTACGCTTTTTTTTATTATTTATACACAACGCAAAAACCACTTGGCTTTTCAGCCCACAGACAAATGAAGACAAGATGCTCGCTGGGACTTTTCAGTCATTTCTTTCTTTCTTATGTTCAGTTCAGCTCAGCTTAGCTTTTAGCTTAGCTCGGCTCGGCTCGGCTCTCACATCTCTCACACACGGGTCTCCTTCTCTCTCTGGGCTCTGCCACCTACTGAGGGAAGAGGTGACCATAAGTAGGCTTGCAGAAACAAGGCACAGGTGAATATCATCAGCTACTTAGCCCACTGGTTCAGACTGACCAGCTTCTCCGTCCTGCATTCAATGCTCTGCCACACCCCCTTCTCCACAAATATATAGAATATAGAAATGTATATAGAATAGAAATATATATGTAAATATAGACAGTAGGTTCTTAACATCTCCAGTTGCTTTAAAATTTTTAATTATTGCCCTGATAGTGGAAATGGGCATTTTTAACTGTTGAGCTGTTTTCTTGTAACCATTCCTGATTTGTGCAGCTCAACAACCTTTTGTCACACCATTCTCTGGTCTTTTTTAGAGTGATGGACGACTGAGGCAATTTGACCTGTGTGTCACCTCATATATATACCCCAGTGAAACA